AATGGTGGTTCACCAGTAGCAATCAAATACATAATGATACCAAATGAATACACATCCGATTCCTGAGTAAATTTGCAAGTATTAAAGACTTCCGGTGCAATAAAAGGCAAAACGCCTCGGATGGTTGAATTTGACTCGCGTGAATTCACTGATTGTGAAAGACCAAGATCGCATACGTATGAGTCGATGTAATAGTAATTAGTAGAGTCGATGTAATTAGTATTGTCATTATGCATAACAATGTTTCCACCATGAAGATCACAGTGCACTAATCCCGCACTATTAATAGTAGACAGATCATATGCAATACCCTTCAAATGCCGTAATTTATCCAACCACGTCAATTTGTTAATATTTTGAACCAAAAAAGACAAAAGACTGCCATTGTTAGCATATTGCATAACAATCATGTACTCTTTTGTTTCTGGATCTTGTGTCACTCCATAAATTTTAAGGAATACGGTGTCATCGGTTGTATATGTACACTTGGCATGATTTCTGAACTAATAAATAAATAATAAATAGAGTCAAGTTTAAATATCACTTTAATTAATACTACCAATCATTGCTTACCTCGGAAATAAATAATTCCGGCATTTCATTAAAATTTTTAAATTGTTTGAGCACGACAGTTTCCTCCGTTAACTTGGCAGTATAAACTGTGCCATAACCACCAGCTCCGACCTGTTTCATATCATAAAAGTCGCTATATTGCATGTATTTAAAACGTTCGTTGTTGCGTATGAAACTGTCCAGTATTGCATACACGTCGTAATAGAAAACCAAATAATATTCCCGAGTAAATGGCTCCTGGGTGATTCCGATTATCCAGATATTCTCACGGGTCAATATCGTCGGGTATTCCTTAGTTAACTATTTTGAGCAAACAGAATACAATGTCATAACACCGCTCAATTTAATATTAAACGTACGATACGCACTTATCGATTGCATTGTTTACACGTCAAATAACTTACCTGATAAAAATCAAACGACTGATCGTCTTGTTTGTCAACTATTTTTTTGAGTGTTACACGGGTCGATTCATTCCATTCTGCTATATGTGTGCATCCATGGCGTAATGGCGTCATCTCTTGTACATTTGTTAACAGGGAATATTCTATCCATTGTATATACGCATCATAAACGTTAATTGTATTACTCCACGATTCCATAATAAATGAATCCAAGGACTTAAATTTTTGCAAGCATTCTGTTTACGTACGCTGAGACTTTCGAATAGACGAATTTCAAAATATCCAGTATTATTAAGCAAATTTTTATTCGATAGAATCCGTACTATCAATACCTCAAACCGTAGACGAAATAGAAATATGGGAAACATAACACCAGCACCATCTATTGACGAAGTGTCATCAACGCTAAATAGGAGACGCCGTGAATCTCTCAATGGTCAAAGAGATCTCCAACCCGAAGAACTCCCAGCAGAAGAGACGAAACTACAAAATCGAGATAATGCGAATAACACAAATAATACGGGCGGAAATTTAGGCTCTTCGAGCCATTGCTCTGCAATAAATAATGCGACATACACATCTTCATCTGAGTTAACAATATAGCCTCAAACCTTAAGATAACTACGTCACAGAATGACAGTGATCTTAGCATGCAGCCACCTCAAGTGGAACCTATAAATGAAGAGGGTGTCCCGCTATACCAAATGTTTGGTTGTTATCGATATACCTGAAAATTAATACAGACATTCGATCAGGTGTCATTACTTCGCAATACATATATATGTCACAGAATAAAATAGAATGTCATGGGGTTTTTTCGATTGCGTAACATACTATACCACGGAATAAAATCGAAGGTCATGGAACTTTTTATGCCATGTGTTGGGTACCCCTGATTGTTACTATGACCAAATTTCCGAAATAAGCATAACACAGATGTATACCACAGAAGGTCGTGGAACTTTTTTCATGCATGATGTAATCGTATGACCAGATTTGAATATTTTCTTTTTTCGCTGTGCATACAGAGTAAATGCTCATAGGTTTGCATCGCTTCAGCCTGAATCTGCATCTAAATGAGACCAGAAATGAGCGGAGGGAGCGGTTTAAAAGGGCAGTATATATACGTTGTGGTTATTCGTCGCTTTAGTGTTTTTAGTCCAGCTAAATTCTTCCCCATACGCTAACATATTTTTTATATCAACCCCACTACATAAAAATGTCTACCAATATTGCGTTATTTGAAAAAGTTTATAATTTTCTCCATGATTCCCCTTTAGAACATATCACGGCAGTTTCCATAGTCAATCAAGTAATAAAAGAAGAGCCGTGGTTCCCAAAGGAAGATTCGAGGCAATTAATTTATAAGGCGATTGCTTCTATAAAAAATCTGTATGGAGAGAATTCTGGGAAATATAAGAAACTCATTGAAATTCCGTTTAAGGTTGGTTACTTTACTCTCAGAACTCATTTATATCGCCATATGATGAATAGTGCAGAATCTTGATAACCGGGTTGAGTAGATATCCAGAGCCTGCAAGCACAGGTTTAATCAGTAATGTATTAATCCTTAGACGCATGGGGGTATTTTCTCGATCTTGATTTGAGATGATAATTATAATAATATTATGTGAGTTGTGCTGGCCACGCATAGTTGATGATTTTACATGATAAAATCTGATGGGTGTGCGCACATATTTTATTTTATGGAATAAGTTTATCAGGATCAACTAATTATAACTTATTTTTCTGCACTAGTTTGATGACGCTTTCGAAGGGGTGTGTAGTCTTCGAGATATTGATTTGGCGAAACGGGATGAACAGGTATCCACTAAGGAGATTGAAACGAATTTGCGGAAACTGAAGCTGAATCTTGGTAACAGTACAGCCCCATACGCTAAAAAATTGCTCAAATATCTTAAAAAATTAAACTATCCGACCTTTCATGGAGAGACCCTGAAGCAAGTCAAGTAATTAGTAGCGATTCAAAAATTATACGGCGTTTATCTGAGGAGGCGGAAGATGAATATAACCATTATATGGAGCCGGTAAAACGTATGGAGGGAACAACTCCTCTTCGTATCAAAGATGTATGTAATGAGTTTGTGATGAGCTATAATAATACCATGTATGAGGGGGTGCCTATTGAGCTTTCACATGGAAATTGGGATGAGTCGGAAGAAGATGTTGTAGGGATAGCATCTGGAATACTTGATACAATGTTAGTATAATACGTTTTTATTTTAGCACACTTTATGCTAGCTCCGCTAAAAAATTATTTCTGTTATCGAAACTAGAGGAAGTATTTGGAGAAATCCAGCGTTTGGGGAGAAGTTCGCAAAATCTCAAAACGAAGGGACATATGTGACGGATATTATAGTCCCTGTAGTGAAAGCTTCATTAGAAAAACTACCAATAAAGAGTTTCGCCTTCGTTAGCACGTAAGTATGATATTACTTACTTTTTTCGAGTAATCGGCATTTATTTACTTTACTTATTTAGAGCGGAACGACAAAGTATAGCAAGTAAAGATCGAAGGGGGAAGACTGGCAAGCGCCCCGATATTATGTTCATGGTAAAGTGTGGGAGAAAAATCTACGAATTAATGTTTGCCGAATGTTCTCGTCTTTTTTGTGATAAAGATAAGGAAGAAAATGATTGGGTGAAGTTATGGAGAGAAATGAATGATGGCATGTATTGGGTGCACAAAGGTTGTAAGCCAGAAAAAGACGAGTTCGGAATTATTGGGATACAAGTTGCCGGACAAAAGTTTCACCTGTACGTTCTCATTCGGGGTGGAGATGGAGTAGATAAACTTTATAGACTACGTTCGGTGGATATCCCAGTACAATTCACAGATAGAGATACTGTATATAATTTTGTGGAGGCGCTGTTGCTATTACGGGTATGGAGTTATTTATGCGTGCTCTCTATATAATAGAGTATACGTATATATCTAACTTTCTCTTTTTTTATAGAAAATCCTAATCGTTAACCTATCTTTGCTATTAAATGCGGATCGTGGTTTACACGGAGATAAAGAAGATAGTTCGACAGTATCATCACCCCCATATGACGATTAGATTTTCATTATCTGTACAAATTTGACCAATGGAATTGCGAGGGATCTGCTCCGCTTTAGACATACCCTATATTTATCGACGTAAATATGTATTTTTGATATATCAATAAAGGTGGATTTTCTTTATAAATGCGGGACAGATTTATCTCGCAGTCATGTGATTTTGCATGATAATTTTTTTCAAACTAAGTGACATGCTGGAAAATTAGCTCCACTAAATCATATGCTTGTAGTACACTCCGAATAGATTTTGTAACGGTAACGACGCATTATTGCGAAATAATGGGGCTCCGCCCTTATCAATCTTGATTGGTTGATTGCTGTGAACGCTACTATGACAAATTAACTTCCTCTTTTTCGATGCTTTTTCTGATAGCATATCCTTTTACTATCTTTTCTCGTGGTTCGTCATACACAATAGAACATGGCAACCCTATGCAACTTACCGATTATCGACAATTTGCATGTTCCACGAGACTATGACATCTCCGATTTGCGGGTTTAGGCTCGAATTTGAAATAAAACACATGACATCGCTCCCATGTGATTCGCATATACTGTAAACATATCAATCATAATTTATTTTTTTCTTAGTCTATCAAAATTCAATCCAAATAGTAACGGTGAAAGCATAGACTACCGATTTCGAACACTAATGTCATCTGAAGGCCTGACCAATTCAACTCGATATTCACTATCATAATCAATTTTTTTCGGATAATCGTTGCGCATTATCAATCTTGATCAATAAACCAACTATCTTTCTATCGCTCGGTTATGTATGTTCTACGAACTTCTATGCTGATATCTGATTCGCGGATTTAGGCCCATTATAACGTGATATAATTTCGAAGTGACGATGTGGTTATAATTGTTTTCAGATTGAATTTGCTACATTCGCTTAATTTATATATTTATACGTTATTTCCACATCAAATATATTAGTTATTTTATTATAGCAAATATGACAAGTAGTACTAATAATAAATCCAATCAAAGCAAAACATTTGCTTTTTTATTATATAAAGAGAAGGATATAATAGCAATTCAAGAAAAACTTGGTATTAATAGTAATACGTTAAAACAAATAGAACACGAGCCCGATGGAAAAACATTCGCTGATTCATATAAGTTGCTATTACATTTGGTGGGAGATTTAATACTGATACAGAAAAATCTCGACATTGATGGCAACCCCATTTTGGCAGTAGAATATAATAATGTGTCAAATCAAAACGATTGAGGTTCTTCCGATTTATCTCTTTCGAAATTATTTAGTTTGCTTTTATACTTGGAAGACGATATAGTAACAATTCAGGAAAAAATCAGTATTCTTGGTTATACTAATCAAGAAATGGCAGAAGAAGCTGATAAAAATGCGAGAGTGTACCTCCAAAGGTTTGAGAAATTTCACGGCCCCTTAGAAGATGATCTAGGTGTGTTAATAAAGAAATTCGCTGATATAGGGGTAAAGAAATTTTGGTTTACTGGTGAGGGACTACCATTATTTCCAAATGTTTCTCCTCAACAATTACATGAGGTTTTCGTCAAAAAATCAGCTAACATTGATCAGTGTCCATGTCTAAAATCAAAAGTAGGTTCGGAGAACCATTGCTTTGCAATAAAACAAGAAAAATTATCACAGATATATATACATCACGGCAAATAAAAATTCTTTGTTTGAAATTAGCTGGAGGCTGTCGAATACCCGATTACTCGCTCTATTTTTCTATGGCTTCCTGCGATATTATTTAATGATGTATATTATCAGGAAAAAAATAACTAATATTTAGATGATTGGTTCACATGTTTAGTTATCAGATTTTAAAAGTAACTTTACTCGTTGATAGTATCGATCTTCAGCTTGCTTCATAAATGATCCACCTGGTCGATAGAGCCACTCAATTACTGCATGCTGGATTATTTTAGCGGAATTAAT